TACTCAACTATTTTATTTTATTTTTTTTAATGACGAGGGAACACGCAGTCGCTACCATTCGGGTACGCACTGAGTAAACTCTCGAACTGACGTAATAGTCTGCAAGCCACTCCACCTAAGTAAATCGCACTAGGCAAGCCCTGTGCGACATGCTTGATCAAGAAAGTGTTGGTAGGGGATACTCAACTATTTTTATATTACTCGTCTGTGATATTACAAATTTTGAGCAACATACTTCATAAAAACTAGTGAGCTACAACTTGAAACCTTAGCTTATCGTTAATAATTTAAAAGGAGAACTACAAATAAGATCGTTTGATTTTAAAATCCTCATGAGAGATTTTAAGTGAACAAAAAAGTTTTAACTAGTGCACACCAAAAATTGAAATTTATGACAAATTTTATATAAATTAACTTAATAGTAAATTTTAATTGATTGATTTAAAAATCATTTACAGTGAAATTAGAACCAACCGATAGACCAAGAACCAGTAAAATTTTAACTTTAAGAGTGTGTTTGATTGGCATGAAAAATATTACCTAGAAAAGAAAATGTTTTCCATCTTTTGTGGAAAATAAAAACCACCTCTACCCAAGGAAAATATTTTCCTTAAAAACAAGGAAAATTAGGCATATTTTCAAAAGTTGGAAAATATTTTCCATGGAAAAAAATAGCAATCAAACACTCCAAGTAGGAATTTGGGTGGAAAGTTGATATTTTCCATGGAAAATAAATGTAATCAAACACACCCTAATCGATTTGAATTAGCTATTTTTGTTCGGTCCAGTTTGGGTTGTTGATGGGTAAAATGCCCATATCCTTTAAACTTTGAAACTGATATGTTTAGGGAAAATTGCAGTGGAGAGACGAATTCTTTCTTTTGTTGCAAAATACATCTTAACTTTTCATTTTTGCTGCCGCAGTTCCAAACCTTTTACTTGCACTACAACTGAAGTCTATTTGATAGATTCCATCTACTTATTCGTTAATCAACCCTTAAATTAAATGTTTGACTCAACTTGACAAAATAAGTGAAAAGTAAAATAATGAATTTACATTTTTATAATAAAATAATTAAACAAAAAACCAATAATAATAATAATAAAATCAAGTTTTTGTCTTCTGCAAACACTCCCTACCCCTTTCCCAACACCAAAACCCAAGAAACCTAGCTACGGTTCTCCCACCCATCTACCTGACGTTGCACTATCCAACAACACCATCACAAAGGTCACCACCACCATCCCAAATCTCAAACAATAATACAAAATTGCTCAAATCCAAAGAATTTTAAAACATTTAGCAGAAGATCAAACTTGACAAAAGGAAAATCGTGGAATCTTTTTTTGGTTTAATTATTTCATTATAGAGAATATGCATATTCACTATTTTAACTTTCACTTAATTTGTTAAGATGAGTCAAACTTTTGATTTAAGGGTTGACTAACGAATAAGTTGGTAGAATCTATCAAATGGACTTAAGCTGCAATAGAAATAAAAGATTTGGGATTGCGATCGTAAAAATGAAAGTTTAATGTGTATTCTGCAGCAAAAGGAAAGGTTTGGAACCTTCACTGCAATTTTCCCCATAATATATTGATAAATTGCACATTATGTCTTGAAACTTTTCAAAGAAGTGTTGTTATAGTGTGAATTTTTCATGTTTGGCAAAGATCATGAAAATTACGAGAGGAAAAGAAGTCTTTCTCGCCCTCCTAACAAATTTTCGGATGAAAATCATAATTAGAGACAACATGTGCATATTGATAGATAATTAATGATAGTATTTATTAATAGAAGGTTAATGATAACATTTTGATAAAAAATTAAAAATAAAATAAAAATAAAAATTGGGTCATTAGTATGAAAATAAGCAAAGATTGTGAACATGTATTGCAATTAAAGTGCGGCATGGTCAACACAAATTGCAGTTTAAATAAAATTACAATTAAACTTATAGAAAATAAAAAATGAAAAATAATATAAACTTTCATCTTCTCCACCAATTCTATTACAGTTAATGGCACTATAACTATCACCATCACTATCAATATGACAATATCACCATCACTAACACTTCCAAAAATTATTTGAATTTCTCTCTCTCTCTCTCTCTCTCTCTTTTTATTTTTTTGTTTATCATTTTTTTAATT